GGGTGGAGTCAAAAAAATACTTTAGGGCAGACACATTAATAAATTTTAATTTTTTTTATCAATGTTATAGACTTAATTCAATGTAATTGTTATTTTAGTTATAAATTTTAATGTTAAATGAAGTTTACTTTCAATCAAAGGGGTGTATTGAATTATGTCATTAAATTAGATTTAAATAATATTTTTTTATTTTTTTCAATTGACCATAGAAGTTCATAAATTCATATTTACTATAATTATGCATCAAAATTCATTAAATATAAAAGATTAAAAAATAATTTGCATGGAATGAACAAAAAAAAAAGTAAATTAATTAAAACTTTGCATGAGACTAATTATTATCATTTTACAATTGAATCTGATTATTGTTTATCATTTGAAAGAATTACAAATCAATGATATCAATAAATACTTTTTTTCTATATACAAAATGGTAATAACATTCTTTCATTTATTACCCTGTAATTTATTACATAATGAAGCTCATTTCTATATAATAACAAAATAATCCTATAATTTAGAAAAATAACCTTGACATGTCTAATAATTATTCAGACATGTTTGTCTCTAAAAATTTAAGAATAATAGTAATTTCATCTAATTCAAAATTTAATTTTACATCTTGACAAAAAAAAATTAAAATTTAATTGGTAGAAACCTAATAGTTTGTGACTATTGGACAGATAGCAAACGTTATTAAATATAGGGATTCACTATTAGATTTACTATCATAATATATTAGTTCCAATAACATTATTTAAAAATTAATTATTATTTAAGTAATCATCTATTTTAATCGATATCACAATAACACAATCATAAGGTGGACACAATTAAATATGTTTAAATTTTATTTTAAAAAATATATATATAATGTAAAAAAAAGTTTGAGGATTGACACAATTAAATATATCTGGATTTTATTTTAAAAAATATATATAATGTCAAAAAAAAAAATTTGAGTGGGGCACGTGCCCACCCTGATTCAAGGGTGGCTCCGCCCCTGACAGTGATATCATATTTTACATGATATCATCAGATAATAATATATAGACAAATAAAGAAATGGGTGTAGTTATTCCCACTCTACAAATCTTTGTTCCCACCCTATTAAACTATAAATAATTAAACTACTAAATTCACCTCTTTTGTACAAACCTCACAACTAATTAAACTCACTTCATTCTATACTCACCATATTAATAACAAAATTTATTTCAATCTATACCTTTAGGTTTCTTTCTATACCCATCTTACACACATACACAAAATATATTCGACTAAATTTCACTATGGGTTTTTTTCATGCAAATTGCTTCAATAGTTACCGTTCGATCTCTATCTTCTCCACTCTCTTCATTGAAATAGAACTTCAATTCCTCTTCGGGCTTCTCTTTATTTGAAATTTGCAAGTTTCTTCACACGCAATTTCTCATTATACATAAAGAAATCTCTTGAAATCTTTGTTGTAGGCCATATCTAAAGTTAAGTTTCTTGAAAAAAAAAAAGAAAAAGATCGTCAAATCTCTCTCTTCGAATCACATAGTGTATATATAATTGTTTATTCAATTTTAGTAGATAATCTAGTTGAGTAAATTTTGTCTAGACTATGTGAGATGGGGTATATAAAGAAACTCTAAAAGCAAAGATTGAGATAAATTTAGTTATTAATGGATTGGGTATAGAATGAGATGAATTTAATTACTAATGTGGTGAGTATAAATAGGATGAACTTAGTGATTTTAGAATAGCCTGGATTGAGGCACTCCAAAAGCGGTGTCCAAGAAAGACATACACCCCCTCCACACAGAGTATTTCGACGTTTTTTCCCAAGAAACAACAATCTCAGAGAAGTTATAGTGCAGACATGAACCTCTCTATTGCGAACAATTACAACCTAAGTTGCCCAGAAAACACATAAATCATACAACAAATAGACAAATATTTTGTATGGAGAAATATATAAAATAGTGTATCTCCTTTATTAAGAATCCTCCAAAATGAGTTGTAGTGATAATTTTATATAGACTGATCTCAAACAGCTATTTTAAAGTCATTACTCCCAACTTTAATACACATTAAAATATTAATAATGCTAGAGGATGGCGTGCGCGCGCACACACTCACACACACATACATATATATTACTTTATATTTATATATACACATATGTAACTGTTTTTAAAGAATTCTATGAAATATAAATAAGGAAAACATCATTGCGATGTGGTATACATAATAACTATTTAAATTTTTTTTTTAATATTAAATTATTCTAACAATATGTCCACATAAACTAATAACTACTAACTTTCCGTCCATATAATCTAAGGACTACATAATTGAGATTCACCTTATATATTTGGTATTTTATTATTGATTGGTGATACCATGTCATAATACTAACGTGATATTATTGTTGCATTGAATATTTACTCCATCAAAGGACTTCTCTCAAGCTTATTGAGTCAAAAAAAAATTTCGTTTTTCATCGTACCCGTCATTTGATTTATTAATAATATTAGTGATTTTTTTATCTTGAAAATAATAAGTTAAAGCGAGGAGATAAATAATTCATACATTTTTATTAGTGGAAAAAGGAAATAATATGAAAAATAATTGTTAGCTGCCATTGTCGAACCCATCTCATCTCAGTAGGAGGCATATTCTTGTGATTTGGTAAGAAGGAACCAGGTAAGTTCATCTCACATTTTTAATCTCCAAAAATATATAAAACTATAACTAACCATTACTTAGTCTTAGAAGTTTCCTTTTGCTCTTCATCCAAAACTTTGACAAGTCAAAGTCAATGCTAACTTGAGCCGAGTTTTGACCAAAAATCAGAAGCAGCATTTGGGTTGAACCACTTAGTGAAGGAGATAATGATATAAACCGAAAATTTAAACATTTTAAATTCGAAACTTTAAAATGGGCCATAATTTATTGAGTAAGAATTATGTAAATTAATCTCACATTTTTAATCTCCAAAAATAAAACAATATAAATGACCATTACCAGCTTTTGTAAGTTTCTTGCTCATCATCTAAAACTTTGACAAGTCTATGCTAACTTGCTCCGAAATTTGTCAAAAGAAGCCTTTGGGTTGAATCTCATGGCAGCCCATTGAAAACAACAATGAGTCGTAAATTCAGACATCTTAAATTTGAAATTTGATAACTCATTGGAGTCCGGTCATGAGGGTTCTTCATGAATTTCGGTTTGAATGATTTGTCTCTTATCAAGCTGGAGAGGGATCAGAATTAATTGAATTACGCGTAAGTTGACCTGAATATTTTTCTAATAATACAAAAAAAAATTAAAAATAGTAATACTATATAAATCAAATCTACAATTCAAATTTATATCTCAAATTAAAGAGGATCATTAGATAAGTGGGTCTCATTTAAAAAAATTGATGAGACCCACTTATTCAATGATCTCCCTTAATTTGAGATATAAATTTGAGTTACAAATTTAAATTACATAATATTTTTCAATTAAAAAATTCGTATTAGGTTCTAGGTGAAAGAATGGTCGTGCGTTTGTCACCAAATACCAACTAAAATCCACTGAGTTCCCACAGTGACGAGCCATGGATTTGTTCAAAAGGCACTACGTTGAACAACACGTTCACAATTAAATATAGGCGTTTGATCATTTACAATACTTGACAGATAAATACATTAACAATCACATGCATTACACATTAGCAAGTAAATAGGGTTGATTATGTCCACTCTTGAACAAATAAATGTATTAGCAATCGCATACATTAATAACAAATCTATTTTATAAAAGGTGACCCGATGCACACGAGTGTTTTTTCCTTATGAAATGTAGACAAAATTAATTATACAAAGTTTTACTTGTGCACAAAAATAGATTATTTTTGTGATTTAAATTCTGAATGTTCAGATCCTAATAGAACAAAACAATCTTGTCGCAGTGTCAAGCTCCAATCTATTTTATTTTCCTAAATTTATTGTTAAATATTAGTAAATATGAATTTTCTATTGAAAAATAAAATTTTTAATGAACTGTTCGTTAATCGTGAAAAGAAACAATATATTCAACTAGCTCGAGTTTGTGACTAAACTACCATTTTTTTTAAACTTTATTGCATTAGTACCATGTTTCTAACATTTTCTCATTTGTTTTGGTTTGAATAAAACATATTTTTAAATTTAAAAAAACACTTCGAAGATTTTCTATTGAAAATAGTTCTTTGAAAAGTGAATCTAATATAAAAGTTTTCTCATCATAAAAAAATACAGAATAATCTGAAAATTAATTCGATCTCTTGTGTCCCTGTCTTCATTAAAAAATCATTATTTCAAAGATGAGCTGTTGATACACATATACCTTTGATTTGAACGATCCAATTCCATCTTAGATTACGATATAAGCTGAACCTATTCTAGATGGAACATGTTTCTTTGTACACGTGTTCAACGTGCCTGTCGGCGTTTACCATTCCTTACTCATTTTCTTCTTCCTCAAACAAAGCACCACCTTAGTAAGCAAGCAAATTAATAAGAATGAATTATATTTTATACCTTGAAAGATTTTTTAATTCTTAATTTATCAATAAAAAATTCTAATTTCCACAAAATTCACAAAATTATATCAATATGATCCAAACCCAAACTATCATTCACTTTTTCGTCTAAAAAAAATGAAGCACACAACTTACAATTGACATTGCAAATCACAACTACTTTATAGTTTTGTAAGTTGCGAGCTTCGTTTTCAGATGAAAAATTGAATGACAAATTTTTTTTATTCTGGGTCACATCGTCACAATTTTAGGAGATTGAGGGTGTATTTTGAGAATTAAAAAAATCTTTGGGGTATAATGTGAAATTTGTCCAATTATAATAAAATAAGCAGAATTGGAAGTTTCACACTCACCAGACAACTACTCGTCGACCCACCAATCACCATTATATGTATTAAACAGACCCCCCTATCCGTGCATACCGTTTGTTGAATATATATATATACCTTCACCAGTTCCTCTGCCTTCTACACAGAATTTGAAACCAATTCTCACCCAAATCGCAAAATGCAGGCGAGTTCTGGGCTATGGTCATCTTCGACCATCTTAAACTCCTACAGTGATGAAGATCAATTCGCCGGAAAGATTATGGAAGGTTTTAGCGCACGGCTGAAAATCGTAGCTGCTTGTGATGAAATTAAAGTTGAAAATTCAATACCCAGTGATGGGAAGTCCTCCGAAGACCAAAATCGATTGTTAAATAAACAACAATCACAAGATGAAAAGGTTGAAGATCATGCAATTGAAGAAGAACAAGAAGATGGTCACGGTGATGAAGATTTCTCGTTTGTATGCAGCGTAGATGAGTTACCATCACCGATTTCGGCTGACGATGTCTTCCAAAACGGTCAGATCAAGCCTGTTTTTCCGTTATTTGGCCGAGATCTCCTTCTCCTTCTATCCGATGAAGGCGATGGTGATTCTTCTCATAACATTTCCAACTCTCATGTGGGGTCTCCTGTGAAAAAGTTTTTCATCGAAACAAACTATCCCCCTCTACCTCCGTCATCGGAATCTGATGAAATCAACGGAGTCGCCGCCGGTCCGTACTGTGACTGGTCAAAAGGAAAAACAACCGAAAAGTCACCTGAGGTTTGCAAGAAAAGTAATTCCACAGGATTTTCGAAGCTTTGGAGGTTTGGGGATTTTTACAAACGGAGCCACAGCGATGGCCGCGACGCGTTTGTTTTCATGAACAATCCGGCCACCGGAACTGCGGCGAGTAAAAAGACTGAAGAGAAGGTGGTAGAGAATAGGCCGCCAGAAAAGATAAAAAGCGCTGGAGAGGTGAAGATTAATAACGGAAATGGTGTAGCAGGAGGGAAAGTAAAGGCGAAGACGACGAAGAAAGGAGTGAAGCCCGAAACGTCGTCGTTGTCAGCTTACCTGAAGAACAGAGCGGCAGAGGAAGATCGGCGACGGTCGTACCTGCCGTACAGGCCGGAGTTAGTTGGGTTTTTCACTAACGTTAACGGTGGATTAAGCAGGAATGTTCACCCATTCTAAGCACAGATTTATTTAATTTTTGGATTTTATTAATTCAATTTTTGTAAATCAAAAAAATTGAATTTTTCGTTTTTTTTTCCCACCTATTTATGAAATTGTTTGGGTGAAAAATGTTATCAGGGGCTCTTACAAAACTAGGATGCCTAATTTATCAACCTCTCTGTACATTTTGAAATTCTTTAGTTCAATTGATTTCTCTTCAATTTATGTGGGAAAATGTTAATGACTGGTTATTTTTTTATTTTTTGGTCGTTGACGGTGTACAAATTCATGATCTTTTGTTGATATATTTGTTGAGTAGTGTTATGTATTTAAAATTTGTAACTCAAATTTATATTCTAAATTAAGAAGGACTATTGAATTAGTGGATTCCATCAATTTTTTTAAATAAGACTCATTGATACAATGGTCCTCCTTGATTTGAGATACAAATTTGAATTACAAGTTTGGATACATATCGTTACTCATATTTAGAGACTGTGACCAAAATAAAATGGGCCAATACCATACAAAGTCATCATAATTTTCTAAAGATAGAGAAACATACAAAGGTAAATTGCATAAATAATCTTTGAGGTTTGTTATTTGTTACACTTTCATTCCTAATTTTTTAATTTCATTAATTTTGTCTCCAAAATTCAAACATTGAGTCAATTTGGTCATTGACACTAACTGTCGTCACAAAAATAGATGGAAAACACCAAGTGCCTGTCACGTGCATATCGTGCATATCTTTTAGGGTATTTTTGGTATTTTATAGACAAAATATATGGCAAAATGGAAAAAAGAAAAAATTGGCTTTCTCCCTCCCTCTCTGTCCCCCTTAAGAAATTAGAAGTCTCATCCATACTGTATATTTCCACCTTCCACCACCCTCTGCACTCCCCAGGCCAACCGATGACTGTCACCACCTCAATTACCCTTCCACCCTCCAAAATTTATTCTACACAACTTCCACCGTAAAGCCAACTCAATCATCTAGTAATAACACAGTCACTCCTCAAAGTAAAGCCAACTGCTAAGCTCACCAGCATCACCACCACCACCACAGACCCAAACCCCACCATTGCTACCTCTACCATAAAAAAAAAAACACGAAATCTTGATAACCCATACAATTTCTAAGAACGAAGTANAAGTTTGGATACATATCGTTACTCATATTTAGAGACTGTGACCAAAATAAAATGGGCCAATACCATACAAAGTCATCATAATTTTCTAAAGATAGAGAAACATACAAAGGTAAATTGCATAAATAATCTTTGAGGTTTGTTATTTGTTACACTTTCATTCCTAATTTTTTAATTTCATTAATTTTGTCTCCAAAATTCAAACATTGAGTCAATTTGGTCATTGACACTAACTGTCGTCACAAAAATAGATGGAAAACACCAAGTGCCTGTCACGTGCATATCGTGCATATCTTTTAGGGTATTTTTGGTATTTTATAGACAAAATATATGGCAAAATGGAAAAAAGAAAAAATTGGCTTTCTCCCTCCCTCTCTGTCCCCCTTAAGAAATTAGAAGTCTCATCCATACTGTATATTTCCACCTTCCACCACCCTCTGCACTCCCCAGGCCAACCGATGACTGTCACCACCTCAATTACCCTTCCACCCTCCAAAATTTATTCTACACAACTTCCACCGTAAAGCCAACTCAATCATCTAGTAATAACACAGTCACTCCTCAAAGTAAAGCCAACTGCTAAGCTCACCAGCATCACCACCACCACCACAGACCCAAACCCCACCATTGCTACCTCTACCATAAAAAAAAAAACCACGAAATCTTGATAACCCATACAATTTCTAAGAACGAAGTAGAAATTAGGGAGAGAGAATTACGAGGAGAGAAAGGGAATCATAATCACCATCATAATCTAATGCCCAATTCAAACCTAATTTTTCATCGGTCCAAAATTTGGGGGTTTGATACTCAGATAATTGATGAGCAATTTTGGGGTATGCTTTTGTGGTTTTGCGCTACGTGTGTACTAGGGTTTGAGAGAGGGAAGATGTGTTGGGTATGAGGGTGAAAGACGCAAGAACGTTGAGAGAGAGAACCCATGGGAGAACCAAGAGGAAGATTTGCTTGTCATGGTGGGCGGTGTGATCGGTGTCAACATTCTTGAGACAAAGATTTGTTCCTTGTGTTGTGTTTGTGCGTCACATAGAGGCAAGGGTTTTAGAGATAGAGAAAGGGTTATGTTGGGCTAAAGGGAGAGAAGCGTCTAGGGATGTCAGTGGACCGAAGTGGGGGCGGGGAGTGTAGTCTTCATCCCCGTACCTGCTTAAAAAAACTCTATCCATCCCCGGTCCACACCCGTTAACGGATATAATTTTCATCCCCATCCCCATCTACGGGTAAATTTTTAATTCCCGTCCTCGTCCCCATCCCCGCTTCCCATACCCACTTAAGCTCAAGACCAAGCCCAAGTAACATAATTCAAAATTCTAAATAAATCTAATATTTAAATTATCCAACAACATTTTAAATAATTTAGTGAATAATCTATATTACAAAATGTAAAAGTCAAAACAATATAGTATTCTGTTTAAAGTGTCATTGGACCACAAANGACTGGTTATTTTTTTATTTTTTGGTCGTTGACGGTGTACAAATTCATGATCTTTTGTTGATATATTTGTTGAGTAGTGTTATGTATTTAAAATTTGTAACTCAAATTTATATTCTAAATTAAGAAGGACTATTGAATTAGTGGATTCCATCAATTTTTTTAAATAAGACTCATTGATACAATGGTCCTCCTTGATTTGAGATACAAATTTGAATTACAAGTTTGGATACATATCGTTACTCATATTTAGAGACTGTGACCAAAATAAAATGGGCCAATACCATACAAAGTCATCATAATTTTCTAAAGANTCAATTTCTTAGTTTACTTTAGCAAAGAAACTCATCAACCTCCATTCACAATATTTCTATCCACAATGAAATGCAAAACTATCTTACTCTCTCTTATCTATTTTTAGAGTATGGTTAATCCAAACACCTAACAGTTTCAATCAGTGAACACAAATAAAAAAAAATAATAATCAGGAAAAAAAATTGATAAGATTACCACATAGCAATATCACTTGTTAGTTTAATTACTATATTTCTAGATTAGTAGTTACAGTAAATATGTTTAATTAAGACTTGCGAATATATATATATATATATAACGGGTAGCGGGGGGGAGGGGGGCGGGGCGGGGGCGGGGGGAAGGGGAAGTCCATCCCC